GGAACACTACTCACTGACTGTGAATGCATCTGGTGACATCATTATTGTAATGAGAAATATCTCAGATCCTTATTTTGGAAGCTACCTAATATCTGTTTATCGTAAATCAGACGACAAAATAGACACCTTATGGATCAAAGTCTATAAGAAAGGTAAGCTGAGTACTTTCTCTCGTACTCTTGAATACGTAATATGGGCAGTATCTAGAGGGTGTAACAGACGTTTAACATATATTTTATTTTTGCAGAATTTTTACTGCGAGATAGGAGCCCAACTGCAATGACTCCAACGGTATTCCTGCCACATGTGTCACATACGCATACAAAAGATCACGTCACCACCGAGGAGAATAAGCCCAGTGAACAGCCTAAAAGTAACGGTACAATGAAAAACCACATTAGTCGGCCCAGTAAGTTTACTGCCCGTTGGAATACTTATTTCTATTAAAGATTCCTCATTGAGAAACGGCTTGTACTGTTACCCTGAAGTTTTAAGCAGGTGCATTCCGCGGCTTTCTTAAAAGGCAAAAGGTACTTTTTACTTAAGGAAAGGATACGAAAACAGAAGTTTTATTCTGAGAGAATAAAAATGAGACTCGGGAGGTATCTCTTAGATTTTAGCTAGAGAAATCTGGGAAGAGTACGAGTATGAAAATAAACTTTGCAGCAGGAGAAGGGGCTGTGAGGACCGACTACAAAAGTGAGGAGTCAGGCAAACCTGGGTATTTTGTGCTCTAAATAAGTGATTTTGTTTCGAGTTACAAAGTTATAAATATGAAATAATGCACGGGCGCACAGATACGGAACTCCTTTTCAGCTGTTCAACCTGATAGCAGCGAGCGAGTGAGATATAGAGTTGAACACGGGGAGAGAAATTCCATTTCTACGAGCAACCATGTATTATTTTGTTTATTATATAAACACAATATGCTTTTACTGAGAAGAAAAGTCTACCTTATTCATGAATGTAAAAATAGGATGCACAATCCGCGAAAAAAAGTCGATAGGATCAGTGATGTTAGGGAACGTAAAAGCAACGATATTCTGAAAATATCACTGTCTAATTTATTCAACTTTCTTATCTGGCCCAGCTTTAGCTTACAACGGAAAAGAAAAGGCTGTACAGAGTGGATGGCGTATACCTGTTCTGGCAATCTCCACTGGCTGTTTATACCGCTTGTTATTGATAGAGGTATCATGGTACAAGAGTACATGGGAAAATAAAATTTAATTTACCAAGAGGACAATGATTCATTGATACGCGTCGTTTGTTTAATCCTTGAATGAAACTTTGAGCCATTTCCACATTTCAAATAATGCCCTTTCGTTCCACTACAACTCACAATTGAAGTACTAGTCTAATTGAACCTCTCTAAATATGACGGACACGCTTTCTCGGTCCCTTTTTACAGTGGAGATCGCAACATTTTGACTGCACGACGCGTGATCGAGGAATAAGGCTTGCTTGTGAATTCTTCGCTTAAGTAATTTTGAATTATGAAGAAGACCCACATAAAAAACAAATCTCTCTATGTTCGAGATATGTTTCTGATTATGTGGTAGACATTCCATTATATCGCTGTATTTTAGCTTATTTTCAGCTGAAATTTTAGCGTTTCACATGAGTGGTGTTCTCCTGGAAGAGACGGTTTTCACTACTTCTTATTCTAGTGTAAATCAGGTATAGATTGGGCCATGTTCGCTCTTACTGGGGAGCATAGAGCGTCAACTATGGATCTCCGCTGGACGCTGTTTTTCGCTGTTTTTTTTTGCTTCTCGTAGGCTGATGTTATCCTTGTCGAGCTCATCATGGACATTGCCCTACCAAGACTGGTTTATAGACTCACGTTGTTATTCCTCCTTATGTTACCTGAAATTTTTTTGCTTCTTTATTACTTTCTACTGCAATTTTTCTCTTGGTTACTCTCTGTCTCACTCTTGGTTACTTTCTGAATTACTCTCTATAGTCATACAGACCTACTCGATCTCGGTAGTCTAGCGGATGCGAAAAGAAGGCTCCCGGTCAGTTGTAGTCATCTCTGCACTATTCAAGGGAAAGGCGTCGATGTGAGGAATTCAAGTAGCACTTTGTGTATCCGCCATTATCCGACACGATTTCATTGGTCTACTTTTTTGCCTGGGATTATAGATCGAGTTCTGAACTACAGTCATATATCATTTTACGAATCGCACCTATCAGTACACATCATCACATCTTTCAGGGTATTAAGCAAGAGTTTCGGTCCAAGATGCGATCGCGCCAAATGTTGGACGCCTGAAAGGGTCCTCCTGCCAACATTGCAACATCAGGTCATATCTACAACAGAAGAAAGGCATAAACAACAAACGATAAAACGTACAGTGACAACAACAACAACAGGAACAAAACAAAACAATCACACAGACTAGTTGAGATACTTTCAAACTGCAACTGTTCGTCGGTTTTAGTCCATTAACCTCTAAGAGTGACTGGCTTCCAATTTCTCCTTACAATGTCAGCCTTAAATCAGCTATGAAGGTCATCAGAATAAAGCAAATGATCACCAATTTAAGAATCTCCTGAGTTTTCAAAAATCTCTCAGCACAATAGGAATAATATAGAGAGCAGCGTGGAAAATGTGTAATGGTTATGTTAGGGTGTAAAGACTTAGGTTAACCATTGCACAATATATATAAAATTAAAAATAGAAACTTCATTTGTATAGTAGTTCATAACCAAGTTCCCTTTCAACAGTTATAAGCCCTCTTAAATTTTCTCTACTTGTCACTAAATGTGAACTACGATATTCCCGTTAGAAGTTTACCTCAATTTGTATTTTAGTGAGTTACGCCCTATAATATTGAGCCGATTAGTAAACTTCGCAGCACCCGAGTTCTCGCTGCGCGCAGTAGATAAATACAGATTTAGGAAGAGATCGCTGTATTGGTCCACTTACAATTCTAGGCTGACTTTTGAGGTCCTTCGTAACCTGTGACCATTTGCAACGTACTGGAAGACTTCTTCTCCCGACATTCCTTCATAAGGGTTTCCACCTGCGATCATTACATAAAGGACCATTCTAAAAAGACTAGTAATAATGGGTACGATGTATGTATAAAGTAGAATGTATCAGAACAAGAGAGGAGAAAGGTATGGTCTCTTAAGGACCTGCTACTGATTTATCGCCTGTTCTCACTTACCGAGGGTAAAAATCTCGTACAGAACAATACCGTAACTCCACCTGGAGCAGAAACGACAGAAGCCATTAGGTTAAATTACGAATAAAGGTGTACTTATGACTGCATGTCATGATACATTTCTCTAGGAGCAAAACAACCAGGTTCCTTAGCAAAACAATATAATGAAATTTCGATAAAACGAGTTTGTCAAGTCTAGTTGTGAAGATAAGAATAAAAAATCAGAGGGCTTATTATCACTAGGTGTGGTAGAAGTAGAAGGTCATACAGTAAGGTAAGGTAAATAACATTTTGGTATTGGGAAGTTAATTCTACAACTATACATATTCTACATCAACTTACACGTCACTTTTTATGGTAAAAACTTGTTTTGTCAAGGACTCGACTGCCATCCACTTTACCGGCACAACTCCCTGTAGAGTTGCAAAGATGTATATTAGGTCGTGCGTCAATACGGTGGTTTCTTTTTTGATAAGTCTGCTAAGGCCTGTGGTAGGCTAAGGATAGAAATGAGCAGGCTCTGGTCGAAACGAAATTTAGAGTAAGGCAATCACTGAGCACGCATACTTACATTAGACCTCCTGACATATATTTCACCTCTTCCCAGGTCTCTCGCCATTCCAAAATCAGTAATTTTACAGCGTAGACCCTCTCCAACTAAAACGTTTCTCGCTGCTAAGTCTCGGTGAATGAGCTGATGAGAAAAAGTAAGAACTAAATGACTTAGTATTAAAACTTTTCAGATGTGCGTAGGAAAGTGAATCGGAAACTGCCTTGATTTTGCTCAGATAAAGTTTTTCGATTATCAAAAAGAGACCAAATTATGTCCTCAACGAGTAAGATGCAAAGGTACAACTTACCGCTCGCATCCTGCTAACTACGCTCAGGGACCACTCATGATCTACCTCCTGGGGGGAGGGGTGGAGGGTT